TACAAAAATCTGTGACGCCATGGGCCCGAAAGCATTGGTATTAGGTAGTCAAGTTAAGCCAAGTAAGGATGGGGGTATGGGGTATCCGGTAGGAGTATCACCACTGATTCGGAGAGCTGTCAGCATTTTGGGTGTATCCTCTGTTTTTTGGTATCCACCAGGCGCTCATTTCTCACCTGTGGCTCCAACAACCTGTCTGGGTGCAAAAGCAGTCACACCCCGGCGGGCCAACCCAGGTTGAGGGTAACCGCGAGATCAACTTGCGGTGAGTCGGTGTCTAACGTACACAGATGAAGTCGCTTACACGACTCAACGGACAAGGCAATGACTCCGTACTCATCAGGGATGCCCGGACCCTGTTCAGCTAGAAATTGGCAATGGCGTATGAACACCCGCCAGATGGCCACCGGCAACCAAACGTTACATTCCTGCTGCCTTGTAATTAGCACTTAGATGTGCAAAGGCTGGGGATGCCACCTCGAACCAAAGCTGGGTGACGCTGGGGACATTTCCTGTATCTAACTCCAAAGAAATTTCATGGATATTCATCCATGAAGCCGGATTATCCTCCCCCAGGGGTGATTCGTCGCAAAGTAAAAGTAAAGTGAATAAGTCAAGATAAGGTTTATGCACTTATGGGTAGATTCTCAGCGGTTACTACATTTATTTGATAAACGTCTGAAATTGCAGATGACTAAGCCTCAATGTCCGAAATTAAGATTCAAGTCGCAAATGGAACTTTCCAGGAAGGAAAAATCAACCAATAGAGTAACCCACATGGGAATGACAAAATAAAAGCGGCTATGAGCGTTTCGAACAAAAGCAACGAAGTGTATTAAGAATGGGGTGAATGGTACATAGCTTGTTTTTTCTCGTCAAGTTATCTTACCGCTTGCATCAGAGTGGATTCTGCATTCGCCACCAAAATGAATACATCTGCATCCAGGCAATGGAGATCGATCCACTTGTCCATATCGGGGTCCACGTTGATTCCGGGGCTATCAAGAAGACAAACATCTTCCCGAAGTAGTCGGCAAAATGTGCTAGGCCAGTAAATGTGAATTGTAGAGTCCGAGGACAGCTTCACTCCACTGAGAGCGTGGGCCAGCTGGCTGATAGATTCAATAGATCTAGATTGCTACAATAATATTGGGAAAGATTAAAAAACGCTCGACAAGACAGGTAAAAACAGTACGACTTCACTTTATATACATGAGGCAAATAATATTCATGCAAAACAACGTCTGATTGGTCTCACCTATGAGGTACAAATGGACGACAGAAAAATGAAGTGACCGATATGACTGCACTGTCTAAACGACGCATCACACTGTGACACTCATGTTAGTAAGTGGTTTTCATAAGCCACAGGAATATGGTTGCCATACATTAAAAGGAACTCCCTATCCCACAACCTCTGCCATCCGATCTGTCGATCAGTTATTCACCTTACTATCAGTGAAACATTTTTCTTGATTTTATAACATGTATATGGTTTTCCTTTCTTGCAATGGGTTTAGCAGAGACAATCATCCGGTTGCTGGTCCCGTTCACAATCCACTAGCAATACATGAAGTGATTGTATTGCGTTACTGAAGTTTAATCCTCCTCGAGATCTTTAGGGATAGGGAAGGCTGTCTTTCCCTTCACGCAAACCTTGATTCCTTTTTAAAACAGAATTAATAAACCTTCTTCCTCTCCGATTACTTAGTAAAACACTGTATCTTTCCGCGACAGTCTTCTTTCGGCGACGGTGCTTTCGTTAAAGAGAAATTATCACGGCAGGGGTGACGAGACAAGGGTAGCTAGCTCATCTTGGGGAGCGCGGAAACCCTATCTGCAAACTGCAAAAGAAGAGACATAGGAACCGCTTGCACGACATCCTGATCGCGACGGAACCGGGTTCAATTAGACGATGGAGAGTATTAGGCAACCTGGGCGTAAAAACCACTCCCGAAGGGAGTACGATCGGATCGACCGGATACCAGCCCCAGTGGACTAGCTTTCCCACATCATACCGCTGTCTCACAGGTCAGTCTTTGATTAGCGGAGAAACGTGACAAGAATTTATAAGGAATATTCATTTTATGGAAGGGACAATACAGAAATTCTAAGGCTATTTGTACTTAATACAAACTACACCATACAAAAGTGTAGCAAGAACCTAAAACGAAATAGTAAGTAAAGCCCACGAAGTAACAAACCTGACATACTTCTTCACTGGACTCTGAGGTCCCATTTTGTTCCGACGTCGTGAGATAACCGCTCTCGTTGTCTGTTCCTTGAATTTCTAAGAAACAACTGGTTGTGTGGCCAAGACCGGAAGGCAGTAACCTCGACCCTAGCATGGCATTGATAACTGTACTCTTTCCATTTGAAGTGCTAAAAAAGAAGGAAGCATGGTGATTGATGAGGATTAAGTAACGGAAGAATCAATACAGTGTTTATTGTATACCTATTTTCGATGGCCATATTAAAAAGCATCTCTAACCCTTGATTATGTTAGTCACGAAGAATTTCTCAGTGTTCATACCCTCAGGCTAAGTACTGTCCTAACCACCTTAATTCATCTTTCACTTAGCACTTACCTCGACAAGTGTCGTAAGTCGAGGAACTCCATCCGGTTAAGTGCGTAGCACATTCAGAGGTATCGTATTCTATGGAGGCAAAGCGCCTGTTTACCATGTAAGATAAATACCTACCCCTAACGCTTGTATCGATGTATAAATTAACAAAGTCGAAGCTTTGTGTACCCACCCCTTACTATAGTTGAACACTGCAGACGATAAATGATTTTGTAGTTAATTATGTGATAGTTTAAATTACCGATGAGTTCAAATAAGCCTGATCATCGTCGTACAACGAAAGGAAATGCTCATATATGACCGAGTGTCTACTGACGAAACCCTAATCATTGCAGTCCCGTAGTGAAGGCGTTTTCCCATCGAAGCGAGAGGACAAAAAGCCAACGTCTGGGAACATAAAAGGATCAGTGAAAAAAATAGCAGTTCACCTAGGGGAGTCGGCTAAAACCCCCGACTCCAAACAAAGGAAAGATGTACGGGCCACACAGACACACAAATAGTTTTCAGCCTGAGGCAGCAGTCACTGGTTTTATTGGGCATAAAGGTGAGTTCGACTCTGACTAAAGGGCATATGATACGACTAACTTAACACCGGTCTCCAATAGACTGTGGTTGGCACACATCACCCCGTTGTATTGCGGGTCAGGTTTTGGCTAGCCAGAGGCTCCAGCTGAGTTTCTTAGGAAAATTCGCCTGCTTTAGCCTGGCCAACCTGGCATTATTCCGCCCACCAGCAAACCATATATATATATATATAACCAATCGTTAAAGATACAGTGCAAAAATAACTATGGGTTTGACGCAAAATATAGAAACAGAAAGGGGAAAAACAGTCAATTTTGGGAATAAGAAATGTTTTCTTTTGTTCACTGCACGCAATTTTCAGCATTTTTATTTTGGGAACCGCACACAAAATGATGCATCTCCTCACATCACAGGTTTCAAGAAGCTGCCACAAGAGTGCTTCGATCAATTCATTGCATTGGGTTAACTCCCTACTGCCTTGTGTCAGACTTTTCAGCCCAAGGCTCTGTCCAAGGTTCCTGGAAAAAAACAGTTGGCATGGACTACCGTAAAGTATGCCGTGTCCTAAATTCTAGGTTAATCATCGGGAAAATCTCACCCATCTAGTTCTTCCACTCGTTTTCAAGACACACGAGCTGCTTCCTGTATAGACCGCCCAGAACATATCAGTTAAAATATAATCAGGATGGATAGCACATCCAAAACCCGCGGAGTCGTCGAAGCGAAATTCAAGTTCCACACACTCCATGGGTCATCATCGTACAGCAAACTTTACTGATTGTTGCCAAACTCATAATGTATACAAGGAAAGTGATAGTGTAAGGAAAACAGGGAATGGACCTAGTTTTAGGGACGGGAAAAGAAAGCGAACCTCTACGGTCAACACACAGTGTAAACAGTCCAACAGAGCATAGATACTATTTCAAGCATTCTGGACTGATAAGAAGTGACAACATGATCGCCATTGCTGTCGGTTCGCAATCATGACCTTCAGTGTCTCCAANCTCCACGTCATCTGCTGGCCTCCACGTGGCTTTCTCCAGCCTGTAACAGCCACTGCAAACAAGGCGCGTTGCGGTAGGCGAACGTCGGACATACGCAAAACGTATCCTAACCAACGGAGCCTACTGAGCTGGATTCGATGAAATAGTGAGTTCTTGTTTGATGTATTCCCAGACACCCGACGACTTACTTCTAACTTACTAACCCGCTCACTCCATACAACCTGGGTCAGACTACGTAAGCATCGATTGTCGAACACTGCTAAACGACAGGTGTTTTCTACCCGAAAATTCAAGGTCTCACAACCGTAAAGTAGAACTGATCGTACAGTGGCGCAATATAAGCGACTTTTCAACTTTAGTGACACGTCACGTCGCCACCACAGGTGTTTTAGTCCTGCGTATGCTGCTCGAGCCTTGGAAATCCGGGCGGTTATCCTCTTTGATGCGCTATCGTCATCGGTCACGCAGCTACCTAAGTACCAGCAGTCAACTGCGGCTAATTCCTGACCGTCTAGTTTCAGAATAGAACTCGGTGACACTCAGTCTTGTAGCATCACTTTGCACTTTGAAGGTGCAAAGCACATGCCGAACGGAACGACAGAACTTGATAATCTGTCAAGTGCTCTTTGTGTATCCTCCATACATTCGAAGCAAACGATGTCGTCAGCGTACTCCAAACCGCACAGCTTTTCGCCAGCTGCCTATTCAATACCTACATTTTGGAGACCACTCATTGTTTTCTCCAGTATTTTGTCTATGACGAAATTGAACAGGAATGGCGAAAGAGGGCACCCTTGACAAACACCGCTGCTAGTTACGAACGACTCGCCGTAGACCCTTAAGCTACCAGAGGTATGTGAGTAAAGTGAACTCAGTATGTTCACATACTTCTGCGGCATTCCTTTGCGAGGGAGCGAACCCATGGGGGGTTCGCGGTCAAATGAGTCGAAGGCCCCTTTTAGGTCAAGGAACACGACAACCGTTGGTCGACGGTGCGTATGGCATAGCTCGAGGACTTGACTCAGAGTGAAGATTTGGTCGATACAACCCCACCTGGTCGAAATCCTGCTTGCTGTTCGCGGATGTTTGTCTCCCTAAACGGCGTCAGACGTCGAAGTATAGTGGAGGCTAGTAACTTGGTGATGATTGGGATCAAACTTATTCCACGGTGGTTTGCGCAGTCATTGCGAGATCCCTTCTTAAAAAATGGAACGATCAGTGATTCGCTCCAGGATGATGGAATGCGCTCGTGTAACCAGATGTCACGCATTACATGAGTAATGGAGTCTACAAGGTCATCGCCCCCCATCTTGAAAACAGTGAGAGGAAGCCCGCCTGGCCCGGCTGGTCTGCTTTTCCTTTCTTCACGGCTTGGATGCAAGAACGAACTTCTGGTGTAGTAGGAGGTTCAGACGACACTGCCCACAGAACCTCAGCTACATCGGAGAAGATAGCCTGGTTAGCGCCTGGCCAGCTGAACTGTTCGTTGAAGTACTCTGCCAACCGGTCAAGCCGTTGTTCCCTATTGTGAATAGCTCGTCCACTTTTGTCGCAGATTGTTTCACTAACTGTGGTTCTCCCATCTCCCGTTTTGCCTATCAGTTGGAACAATCTTTGACTATTCCCTGATGCAGCTGCTATTTCCATTTCACTAGCTATCGTTGCCTACCAGTTCTCACGATCTTTCTTGAGGCTCCTCGTGAGTTGACGTTGGTCGTTATATCCATCAGTGTCTCCAACCGACCAGTTGCAAAGTCTTTCGAACCCAACCTGGAAGACGGGAGACATTTATTCTACCCAATCGTTCTGTGCATTGCTTTATGCCTCGCCTCCACGTCATTTGTTGACCTCCACGTGGTTTCTTCCAACCTAGAGCAGCAGCAGAATAAGGTGCGGTGTGGTAGACGATGGCTGGGCATGCGCAATAACCAGAGATGCCGACTAATCTGAATTTTATGAGACAACGAATTCTTCATCGAATCATTAACAAATAAGCAACGCCTTGCCTTAGTTACTTGTACGCTCGCTCCATCCAGCCCGCGCCAAACTACGTAAACATCGTCAAAGACATCTAGACGACGAATAACTACACGTGCAAATTTAGGGTTTTCGAAGCCATATTGCAGAAATGACCGCAAGTTGACGCAGTATACACGACCTTTCAGTTTCAACGAAACATTACGTCTGCACCAAAGGTGTCTCAGTCTTGCGTTACCTGCTCGAGCCTTCCATCAGATAAGAATGCTTGAAAATGTGAAATGAAATCAGACTATGTACTCTGTGTTGACCGTCGAGGTTCTGTTTATTTCCCCGTCCCCCCAAATAGGCTCAATCTGTATCCGCCTTACATATTCTCACTTACCTTGTACTGAATAAGTTTGGCAGCGATCAGTAAAGTTCTCTTCACTACATCTCACTGAAGGATGATGACACCCACAATGCTGATTGTTAAGTGAGATCCCTGCATGAATGAAAAATTTAATTCCATTCGACCGAAAGGACACCGGGGATCTGATCCAACTCTACGTAGATCACATGGTGCCTGTTAAGTAGCAAATTCTCGGAGAGAAGACACCTATTTTATTGGACACTTGTGTTGGACAGCAGACAGGATGGACGCCACAGTCACGAAGATCAGCTGTTGTGTGGAACTCACTCCACTCGTTTCCGCACTGAACTTAACAGGATTACAGTGATCGTGGATACCACTTATTTGTTTTTCGTTCATACAACGGGGCAGAAACAGCGAACACAAACAGTACAGTACCACATCTTCCTAGGTGTTCATTTCAGTTCAGTTCAGTTTGAACAACCATTAACCATGCACTTTCGTGCGCCGGTTTTGGT